GAATTGTAATATTCCCATTGTGAGACCTGACGAGAAAGAACTCGATTCCTGATTGGGCGGTATTATGGTCATTATTATTATTACTATTATTATTATTAGCAGTATTATTATTGTTATTATTATTATCGTTATTATTATTAGGACACAAATAAGGTACAGCCAAGACACCAAGAAACGCACCACATAAAATAATATAACACTGTTTGGAAGACACAAAACGATGGGAGGTGGATAAGTAAGAAAGTAAAACAAAATAAGAATAGCATGATTGGAAAGGCAGTTCAGTAAGATACACTCAAAACAAAGCATTCATTAATTTTTAGCAACAGAAGATGGAAGGAAGCTACAGCATGATCACCTTTGAAAACGTCTTTAGACACTGAGTTGTGTGATCTCTCGGACCCCACCCAAGGAGTCGTAATGCACCGAAAGATGCTAATCCGATACAACTATCCCTCATCCCACGGACCCACCCCTTCGCTTCTTCAAACCAGTCCCAGGGTTATCAAACAGTGAACGGTATGGAAGCCGTTGGGACGACATGCGTAGCATACGTCCAAGCCACCGAACCCGATGTTTCCAGATGACTTTATTTATTGAATGACGATCTCTATCATGCCCAAACACACGCTGTTGTTCCTCACAATCACTTACACGGTGCTGCTAAGGAATACAAGCGATGCTACGAAGACAACGATGATCGAACACACAGGGTCATCGCACATGCTCATCTCGGAAAGACCAGGTTTCACAGGCCTAGAGAGGGTCTGCTCGCACCAAACCGTTGTAAACCTGACCTTTTACGGTCAGATTAATGTTGTAACGGCGCCAAGATTGATCTAGATTGGCGTGTGCCACTCAGACTTTTGATATGCAGCTGGAAATTTCATCACTCATATCTCCCATCAGCACTCACAAAACTACCCAGATACACGGACACTTAGACTACTTCCAAAGGCTCACCACCAGATACAGGCTCCTGCCAATCTTGCAAGAGTACTTTGCACTTCCATGGTGCAAAGCACATACCATACTTACGGACATTAATCGTCAACTGGTGTATAAGTTTTCGCACAGTAAAACCATCTCTTCTTCATATTCATGGTCGAATAGCTGTTCTCTGGGTAGATCCACACCATCATGACGCACTTTCTTCAGAGCTGTCTCAAGAATGTCATCGACGGCAGAGTTGAAGATGAATGGGGAAATTGGGAAACCCTGCCTAACCCCACTGCTGGTTTCGGACAATGAAGACATGTGGTTGTATGCCTTAACTCTACCTAGAACGTTATTATATAGGGATTTCAAGATTATAAGAAATTTATCAGGCACACCCCTCTCCAACAGACAGTTCCAGAGTACAGCTCTGTCCAACGAATCGAAGTGAGCCCTAATGTCAAGAAATACAATGATTGTTGGACTCTAACACGTCTGGCAATGTTCAAACATCTGGTCGAGGGTAAACACATGATTAGTGAATCCACAGCCTGAACGAAACCCAACCTGCTCCTCGCGAATCATTTTCTCACGCGTTTCGCAAAGCCTGCAAAGTATGATAGCAGTCAATATTTTCGACGTTACTGGTAACAGACTAGTACCCCGATGATTATCACATACATTACGTAGACCCTTTTTAAAAATGGACACAACAATGGCTTCATTTCAGTGTGATGGAAAACCCTCAGTCTGCCATAACTTCTCAAACAATCTAGTCAGTTCCCTAAGTAGAGTCGTTCCTCTATCCCTAAACAGAACCGAGGGTAAGTTGTTTGGACCAGGTGCCTTGTAGCGTTTGAGGACTTAAAGTTCCTTATATGCCCCCGCTTCATTAGTTGGGTCAGTGTAGTACGATACACTGAAACTGAGTGCTCGAGCCGTAGATCGGCTAAACTTATTTTCGAAGTGCTCCGCACAGCGCTCTCTGAGTCTTTGAAAATTTAGTATAATTGCTTGCATCATACCATCCTTAATTAGACAGAATTGATCGGTCTCTATTAGTATATGGGCTCCTGTGCGGATGCCTCGATATTGCCTGTGTTTTAATTATATATAGTAATGATGGATAGCGGCTGGCAGTGGAATCCAGGATGCGCATTTCTTCCCATATGAGACTCATCAGACGAATATACCTGCCTCCCAGTGAGTGATGTCATTCCCACCGGGATTCTGACTCGGGAGCGATAGCTTCAAACGCCATAGCGTTATCCACTACACCACCTAGCCACGATAGCCACTTTTTGTGTATGCCAATAGAGACTGATCAATTCGGTCCAATCAACGATGGTATATATAATACAAGCAGTTGTAGTAAAATTATACCCGTCGTACTAAGAGTGGCTCGGTGGTGTAGTGGATTACGCTCTAGCGTTTGAAGCGATCGCTCCCGAGGCCGATTCCCGGTGGGAACAACACTCACTGGTAGGCAGGTACATTCAGCTGAGGAGTCCCAAATAGGAAGAATTACGCAACCCGGATTCCACTGTTAGTCTCTGGGGATTTTTTTCATCGGTGTACCACCTACCTCACAGACCGCCTCACTGACACCTGGCTTCTTGCTGCCAGTGGCTCGGATGACTGTAACAGCTTCTGACTATTGCCAGATCCAGCTGCTGCTTCCACCTCACTCGTATGTTCTGACCAACAAGGTCCTCAGTCCTTGCGTAAGGGTTGTACAATCTTTCGCGCAAGAGACTTACGCGAACCATTCTATTCGATATCCACCGGAATGCTCCAACGGTCGTTAAGAAGTTACAGGGAGCTCACAGAGACCCATTGTTTACTAGCGAGAAGTCCTTGCTAGCCACGAGAGGCTTTACTTATCATTTTTATGGCGTTTCGTAAGTGCAACCAATGATCGTCTACACTTTACGGAAGATTGGTAGCTAACCTTCAATCTAGCTCGGATTGGTATATAGCTGCAATGTTAGGTGCAACCAATTTGCTTGCATCAACCTGTTTAAGACGACGATTTTAATGATCACCAAGAAGCAAGACGAGTTTAGCATACATTAAAGCATGATCAGAGTCCAGGGAAGTACTCTATATGGAGCGAAAGTCTTGTATGCACCCACGCCATCGGTAGCTGGTTTCAATATGATCTGTTCGAGTCCAGACTTGAGTGACAGAGGGAAGATGCCAAGTAGTTCAGAGGCGATGTGTGTGCTGGAAGTTGGTGCTAGCTAGAAATAGGTTATGATCTGCACAAAGCTGCACCAAACTATCCTCACTATCAGGTCTGCAGCCAATTAGTCCCTATTGGCCACCTAAACAACTCTCATCTGAGCCTAGACGCCTGACCTGTTCATTCAAGTCCCCAGCTAGCACTACGATATCTGCCGAATGCACTTGATTGAGAAGGTCACTCAGCTAATAGTGGAATTAATCTTTGGTTGCATTTGGGCTGCAATCCGTTGGAGCGTAAGCAGATGACGAAAAGGTACCGTTACTTTTATCCGTTACTTCTTACTCCAGACGAACCTTCTAGCCTAACAGCACACAGAGGACTAATGACGGGAATCGGTCGAGTAGTGCAGCTTCGGCTTGAGCACTTAGTGCGACAGCAACACCAATGAGGCCGGATTTCAGTGCCACGGGGTCCCCGGATAAACCCACATGAAACAAACTTTTCGAGGTGACAGATGGGGATTTCATTCGAAGCACTTCACTAGGATCTCATGTGAGGGTCTCTGAGATGCAGCATACATCAATAGCTAGGCTTTCTACAGTAGTAGCCAAGCATGCCTCTTGTCCGGTCTACATCAACGTGTGAACTTTAAAGGTGGCGAGCATAAACGGTACGTATGGTTTAGGGATAACTGCATCAGATGTCGAACTGGAGGACAACTTTATAGGAGTAACTATTCAGCAACTCACAACGGTGGGAACAGACCAGAAGTCTAAATAATAGAGAGGGTTTGAGTGAAGTGAAGATAAAGACAAAAGTGAAAGGGTAGCAATAAAAAATGTTATTCATATGTAAAGGCAATAAAAACAATATAATCGCAGAAGGCTTGCATATTTCCCAATCGGTTGTTCTAGAGATTGATGGAGTGGATGTTTGTGGAGCTGTGGCTCGTTGGTCTAGGTGCTTCACCTTCAACCCACGGGTTACAGGTTCAAACTCATTCTACCCACTGAGGTGTAGACAGTCAAGTAGTATCATTAGCTTTTTGGTTTTGTTTTCGCTAAGCTGGATGATATGATCATGAAGCTTCTATTGTCATTCTAGACAAGGTTACCAATACAAACCTCAGAATGAAGTAGGATTTTCTCCAAAGGTGGATTAGTAACTTGCCCTGATGATATTAAATGGGATTGATTGTCTTTGATAGAATAGTGTGATTTTCTCCATATGTATTTCGATTGGTTATCCTGTAGACGTGAACTCTGACCTTCTTGTTATTTTTTATGCCTTTTGTTGGTTGATAAGTTGTATCAATGTCAATATGTCTGTTGATAGCTAACCGAGCTGAATCCCAAGTTTGGCAGTGATCAACAGACATATTGACATTGACCCAACCTGTCAACAAATAAAAAACACATGAACCAAGAAAGTCAAAGTTAACATCTACAGAACAACCAATCGAATTACGTATGATGACAATGACACGTAATCAGTGGTTTGAAATTGATGGTAATATGGCTCAAAATTTATCACACTGAAACGGATGTCGACACTTTTTGTCATCTTCGAAAATCTGAACATCTCTATTAATGTCATGTCATGTCATTTCTTCGTTTCTTTACTTCCTCTTTGTTTGTTACAATGAAGCGAAGCCTAAAAACCCCAACCTCTGGAAGTTTGAAGGTTTAAGCCAGAATTTGATATTTGCCTTGATATGAAAACCAATGTCTTAATTTAAGCATCTCAATTAAAATTTAAATATAGGAAAAACAAAGAATACAATGAATTTTAAAAACTATACCAAGAAATGTGATTGGTTCAAATAGTATCAACACAAATAGAATAACCAATGCTTGATCAAGAAAACCATCCTCACCTTGATGAAATAGATTGTCTCTTAGTAAGTTGTGCGGCAGCATCTTGTATTACCTGATTAGAACTCTTATCCATATGCAAAATATCACTTAAATTTCGACTTATTTCTCGATGTGAATCGGTATCGTGAAAAATCTCTTGATATTGTGCAACGTGTTTTAATGGAGAACTGCTCTGATTGGGTTTAATACTTATTGAGGTTGTTGTACGATGATATGCTGGTTGCTGACCTTCTTTAGATGGTACAGGTGGCGGTAGTGTAGATTTCGACACTGGTTTAATATCTAGTGTGGTTGTATAACTAATAACTGGTTTCTCTTGTTCTTGAGTTCTCCCACTGTCAATACCACAAGTGTCATTACTGTAACTCTGAGAGTAAGGTGGTATTCTTGGTGAGTTTGCATTCAAAACATGGTTCATATCGGTATTAAATTTAGTAGCATCTTCAGCGGTAATATTTAATTGCGATCTAATATGTTGGATTCCTCTTCGTATCTGTTCCTTGATAAGAATGAAATTTAAAAAATCACAAAAAATACCACATTAAGAATGAAGAGTAATGTATAGGTACTAGCAGCGGAATCAACAACCCATATTTCGTTCAACTAGAAACTCAACAGATATGTGCACCTGATTTCCAACGGCATTGTATCCCTTGGGACTCAGACCTAGTACCCTTCAGTTCAAATTCCAAGGAATTAACCACTAAGCCACGAGGTTACAATTTCTACTCCTTATGAAAAAGATATACGTTACAGAATAGCTTGTAGTTCTTCCTTGTTGATTTCTGATTAAGAAGTAAAATTATTTCATAAATGATAATGTTAGTTCATTTGTAAGCATAAGTCATTGTTATTTAAAAATCCGGTGACAATCAGAATGTATAAGGCTGGTGTGAATTTAAACAGAAGAACGTGTATAGATGGACAGTGAACTTTCAACTCTTGGACAGAAGTATGTCAACTCATGCTTCGGCAGTTCTCAACAGTACACAAATTTTCTAGGAATCAAGAGATATTAAAGTAAATAGGAAGATGAATTTAGTTGAATTATTATTACTATTATCATTATTTTTCCTTTGGGTTCCTAGTGGAACATAGGGCTTCAGTAGCACGCCTCCATTGCACTGTTCTCTGCACTTCCTTGAACCTCACTCCACGACTGCCCACAAGATTTCATTTCTTCCTTACATGATCTTCTCCATGTCACCCTCGCCTCAGACGCCTAACTCGTCGTTTCCCCTTTGGATTTCACTCGACAGCCTGGCCTGACGCGTGATGTCCCCAATCGGCCTTCTCAGTGTATGCCCAATCCATCTCCACTTTCTCCTGCATATTTGTTGGGTGATAATGTAGTTTAATACGATGTTTATATGTACATGTTGTTTGAGGGCATATAATATCGACTGTCTAATAATGCTGAATCCGAAGGAATGAGATTTGGATTGGGCATACAATCATTGAAAGTTAAGTACATGAACCAATAAACCACAAAAAAAAACTGTTGACGAATAAATGAATAGTAAGAAGTTAATATTTCCTAGTCAATCAGCCAGAATCAACATACAACCTGTCATTCCTGAGTGACATCCCAATTTACTGAGAGGACTATATGTGTATAATAATGATCGGTGTTTCGTCGTCATTTATGGTTACCAACAGTATGTCCTATTGTATGCACAACCTAAGCCAGTTGGTCGTTTACACCTTTGTAAACGATTCAAACTAGTATATACTGAATTTAAAATAAACCAAGAAAAATAGTAACAAGACTAGTATGAATGTACTTCGTGGATTCTCCTCAGCTGCTGCACAGCCTATAGAAAAAAATGATTACGATACAGAAACAAGGTACGCAACGTACCTTCGTAAATTGACACTATAGTCTACCGATTGTGTAGCATATGGATAGTATTCACGAAATACGTACACTCTAGTTCTGTTACTATTGTTATTCAATTTCGTGAAAGGAGAGAATTGTATGAAATAATGAATTCACAGATTTATATCACTTTATGTTCACTTGTTCTGCTCTGAGTAACACTAATCGTCTGGGTAAATAGTGGCTCAACATGTATAACTTGAGTCTCCGAAAAATCCATGCTCAACTTCAATGCTGTTGATTTGATAATTGTATTACACACGAGAATGCCTACAAAACTATGTTCAACTAAATCCACTGAAGGTCATCACATAGTTTCTAAGGCTCTTATAGCCACAAGGCAGAACAGAATTCTACACCACAAATTTTCCCTTAGGCTGATCAGCAACATAGATAGCCTAGGCCGACGAATACCGAATCAGCCTTTTTTGTCTGTACCAAAACTTCATCATCAATCACGCTGTCAGACAAGAACAAAATAAATAGAAGTATTGAACGGATTCAGCCAACGGCCTTCTTATCATTAATCCAAGCCTCCGTCTGAACAGGTCTTAGACCATCATCAGGTTTCAAAATTATACGCAAATAACAGTTTCCGTATGCTGGGTTTAAGCAGGTAAAGCTTTATATGTAATTCACCAAATCGATTGATCCTAGTACTATTGAATAGCAGTTGCCTCTCTTATGCGCACAGATTTGCATTAAGCCCTTCAATAGATGTTGCTTTTGGAAAATTTAGAAGAAAAGAAGTGTTCTAGTGGTTAGTTACTTTATAGATATTTCAGATCTCAACATTGTGTACCGATTCAGCCTCCTACATTGCAAAGGAATATTTGAGGTTACTTAGTCCCCTGATAAATGGCTTTTACTGTGATATATACATATATATTCTCCAATATTCCACAAAACCAAGTGGCTGCATAAGAAAAGAATAATTTCAGGTTAAACTATTCGTTTACAAAACCTGGATTTCTCAGTTATTTTAGTCTTCATCATTTTTTTCTGCAACCAATGAAGTACCTTATCGCCAGCTATTTATGTATTTCTCTTATCCCGCCTATTTAAATCCTTTTTGTCGTTTTATGACTAGCTGGGTAACCGAATATACTCAATTCATCTCATTCTGAGAAACTCACTGTGCTGTGATTACTGAAATTCATGAAAGTTTACTAAGTGTACGAAACTACAGACACTAATTAATCAGCCATATGAATCACTGTTTAATTAAGTCTGGATATCAGTGTGAGTGGTTTCTGATTTCTAATTTTATTCAGTAGTTAGTTTCACCAGTCAAATATGCAGCTTTTATTTCTTAGAGAATGTAATGAAGAAGAAGAATAAGGCGTGTGTCAACAAATTCGAACACAGTTTTAACTATCAGCATGACGATGTAAGCGTAGCTATAACGGCCACCTTAGCAACTAATGAGACAGCCAATTACATACCTTTATTTTACGACAAAGCACTTTTCCAGGCGAAACACTGAAGCCTGATGGGTGTATTCAGCAATTGCTAGGATGGCCTTTAAAGTGTCAGATGTAAAGAAATGGATTAATTAAATCTGCAGTTACCAAACCCTATCGATACTGGTTGTTAAGTTGGCTTGTAACCATACTTGGAACTCACACTGCTACATTAGTGTAGGTAAACATTAACTACGAACGCTTTCAAAGACCGCACTAGCAACAGCTGAAACAGCCAATCAGCTTTAAATATTTCGGCTTTGAAGGTAGTTACTGTCAAAATGAAGAAACATGATTGGCTATGTCAGCAGTTACTAGGGTGTCCTTTATAAAGTCATTCTTGATTACATCTCAAGTACACTACATAAAACAAAAAATTGAGCCATAGGTGTTAGTAGTTCGGTTTCAACTTACGGCTTCATACATTCGCCAACCAATGAGCTACAGAAATCATGTGAGGACGAGTGATAATATTGTGAGAACGGATCTAAGATTTGCTCAAATTTCTTATTCACAAATTACACTTAGCCATGATAAAATTGAGAAACTTTACCTTTATCATAATTCATGTAGATAATCTTCATCATATTCAGTTAAGGCGAGTGGTTCGTCACTTTACTTGGATGGAGGCAACTGGCAGGAAGCCCTGGACCTAGGTTTCGCGCTTCTTGGCACTCGTCAGCAAGGCGTACCTGCAACCTCGACGGAACTGATGTCGTGCCTGGGGTTCGAACCCATGTCACCCAATATTGTAGTCAGCGAATTAACCACTGAGCTGTTCGGGCAGCGACTGACCTCCTGTAGGACTGGCTCACATGTATTGATTAGTCACAGGAGTGTAACCGATTTCATATTGTCTAGTGCTGAGTGCTGACCGAATCTTATCGATCATATTTGCAGTGTGGCAACCAAGCCAAGGAGCTCAGCATCGCGGTGCACATTAGTAGGTAGGATTCGGTCTGCACTCAGCACTAGACAATATGAAATCGGTTACACTCCCGTGACTAATCAATACATGTGAGCCAGTCCTACAGGAGGTCAGTCGCTGCCCGAACAGCTCAGTGGTTAATTCGCTGACTACAATATTGGGTGACGTGGGTTCGAACCTCAGGCATGACATCAGTCCCGTCGAGGTTGCAGGTACGCCTTGCTGACGAGTGCCAAAAAGCGCGAAACCTAGGTCCAGGGAGTCCTGCCGATCGCCTCCAACCAACTGACATATACTAATGTGTACCGCGATGGTGAGCTTCCCAGCTTGGTTGCCACATTGCAAATATGATCGATAAGATTTGGTCTGCACTCAGAACTAGACAACATGAAATTGGTTGTACTCCCGTGACCAATCAATACGTGGTTCTTCAGTTTTTGCTACCTCTTCTCTTATCTTCTGTATTTCCATCCTATGTTTCCCATTTCCTGCTTCAGAACGTCTAAACATTGGTGAATAACTCCACTCAGTTTTCTCAAGGACATCATGCAGCATGCGGTAGCGAACACGATAATACTGTGTGATTTAAAATTGTGTTCTCAAACGTTTCTAGAAACAGATGTTTTGTTTTTGATTATTCAGACAAACTGAGATAAATATGATACGGATGGAACAAGTGCCTGATTAACAACAGTCTATCTAGCTGTTTAGTTCCATGTGTTGAGTCCTGCTCGAAGTCTATCGATCAAGTTTGCAGTTTGGCTACTGAGTTTAGTCATATGACACCTCAGCAGATTTTGTTGTTGGATGTTAGGTATCCGTAGATGAAGAATCTTGGATTTAGATTTTATACTCATTGCACCTATTCAAACAAGACGTATTTTCCCATGTTAGATTTGTTTGCTTGATATTTAGCGCACAGTAATTAAGTAAATAGTACTATATCACTGGGCACTATATATCAAATAAACAAATCTACTATAGAATTACATCCTACAACAGTGCCCAAGTTGTACACTTATGCTGATTCGAAGTTTTGCCCGTCAGGGCCAAAATTAAAGGTTTTACCATTAAAAAGGGGGAAAGTATAACTAAATACAGTGAAACGGAAGCAGTACAATATTCTGAATTCCCTCCAAAACTGGCAGATTAATAAGAGAATAACTGAATGGTGTTCAGCAACTAAAAATAATTCAGTGTACAATAATGAATGATCCACTTTTTTTATT